AAAAAAAAAAAAAAAAAAAAAGTCAAACACTACAAAGGGATTTGCACAGCAGTGTAAGCACCTGCTGGCTGGCAAGTGCATGTTGACTGGGGTTTATTCCATGGTACTGCATGCTGTGCTGTGTAGAAAGACCCTGTACCAAATAAAGAAATTCCTCGGGGCCAGGGAGATGGCTCAGTAGAATAAGCACTTGCCTGGCAAGTGCAAGGGCCTGAGATCAGTCTCTGATTCTGCCAAAAAAAAAGAAAAAAGAAAAATAAATTCCTCATTAATCTCTAGGAATTAATCCCCACCCCTTTTTTGGTACTAGGGATTGAACCAGGGTCTTTTGCATGCTAGGTAGGTACTCTACCACTGAGCTGCATCTCCAACCCTTTTCTTAATTTTGAGATTGTCTCACTGAGTTATTCAAGCTAAATTCGAACTTGGGATCCTCCAGTCTCAGCCTCTGGTAGCTGGAAATATAGGTGTGTGACACTGCTCTCAGGTTTAATCTTTAGTTTTGAAGAGAAAAACACATAAAGTATAATCAGTGGATATAATGTAGACTTGAAAAAGTTAATGAGGTTTCACTTAAAAGGCTAATTAATGGGCAAAGAAGATAGTTCAGTAGAAGGGCCTGAGTTCAATCCCCAGTTCCACCAAAAAAAAAAAAAAGTACCCTGTACACAATTTTGGCCAGGAAGAGATGGCTCAGTAGAACAAGGCAAGGGTCAGAGTTCAATCCCCAGTTTCACCAAAAAAAAAGACTTCCTTTTGGGGGTTGGGGAGACAGCTCAGTTGAGTAAGGCACTGAGGGCCTGAGTTCAATCCCTGGTTTTGGGGAAAAAAAAAAGAAAAGAAAAAGGCTAATTAAAATAAGGGGGGGGGAGGTACCAAAGAGCATACATAACATGACACCATTTATTTATTTATTTATTTATTTATTTATTTATTGTCTTAGTTACTCTTCTCTCGTTGCTGGGACAAATACCCGACACTCAAAATGAAGGAAGGAAAGGTTTATTTAGCTCATTTACTGGAGGTTTCAGTCCATACTCAGCTGGGTCCAACGCAGAGCAGCACATAGCAGAGGGCAACCTTTCATGTTTACAAACACTATTACAACAAATCCCTCTATTAATCAAGAGAATGAAGCTATATATCTATCCTAACCATTTTGCATACACAGATACAAAATGGACACTCATTTATATATCCCCTTTTTTGTTTAGTTCTGTCATTTGAATATGATAGGTGTGTTAACTCAGCAAAATATTCCAAAAGAGTCCAGTAATCCATAATAGTATTGGGTCTTCCGCTTGACTAGCAGTGTCAGAAATTGTTGACCTGAGTCCCCTACAGCTCAACATAACAACATGGCTTCTTGTACTTCGTTTTTGTACTTTTCTGCTGGATGGTTAAGACAAAGATAAAGCAAGACCTATGTAACAAGAGTTGTAGCTTTTGGATCTGATAAAGTCAGTCAAATCCCCTCAGGATTTATCCTGAGACCCTGTACCTCAGATTGTAGATTTTTGTCAGTGTCAGCCATGTGGATGAGTCATGGCCATTGCTTGGCCAGTGTGCTCCCTGTGAAAGCCTGAGAGAATGTTTTCTCCCCATGTGACTCTCCTTACACACACTCTACATCATGGATCACTTTCCTCTTTGGCCCCATAATCTCCTTGATCAGAAAATTTGGGACACTACTGAGTTACATGACGTTACAGTACAAGATCTCATATGTCCTGAGTCTTTACCTTGGAAGGTTAGGGCCAAAATGTTGGCTTTCCTTGCGGCCCTCCTTTTTCTCTAATTTTGGTCTGCAAACTTAGGTTGCTAACCCTCCAGAAGAGAAGCTTATTGTTATTACCATACAACCTAGGCTATCATACATCTTAGGCATAACATGGAACAAGTATTTTTCATCAAATATTGATATGTTGACCTTTAAGTCCCTACAGAATATTATGAAAAAACATTTTAAAAATTAAAATATATTTTAAAAATAGGCATAAAGAGGGGCTGGGGAGATAGCTCAGTAGAATAAGTGCTTGCCTGGCAAGCACAAGGGCCTGAGTTCAATCCCCGGTTCTGGGAAAAAGAAAGAAAAAGAATTATATAATTCTGTTACACATAGGTCCAGATATCTAACCATATACAACCTTGTAGCAGGACAGTCCTGCAACATTCCTTTTCCTGTCTCCTGCCTTCATTCACCACCCCCTTCTTTTTGAACAATCATTATCCAAGAGACAGCACGGCAGCAACTGGCATGTCATGACAAGCAGCCCATATTCAGAAGACCAAAATGACAGGCACTCCAAGCATGAACCTAGTATTACAAATTGCCATCTTCAGTGCAGTTGCTTAGTTCACAGGTGTCTGTATATATAGTTAGTCAGGGTGAGAATTATGACACCATTTATGAAAGAAAAAAATATGAATAACCATAGGAGCTTCGTAGAAGAAGATACAAGAAACTGTAGCAATTGGTAAGGGAAGTGGAACTTATTTTTTCACGTGCAGATTGAAAAATGTTTTCGTCACCAAATACACACAAAAAGTTAATTAT